TATATATATATATATATATATTATTCATGATTTGATTTGAAAGAAATTATGTTTATTAAGCTAAAATATAATATGATTATTTTTAAAATACTTCAAATATTTAATAGTTATTTTTGAATGTTCATGCAAACAAAATGATTTATTTTCTAAATATATAAAAATACATTAAATAAAAATATTATAAAAAACTAAACAATAAATTACAACAAATAAAAAATGATCTCAAACAAATCTTAACCATACGAGATAAAATAATTTATTAAGCCACATACAGCATGTTAACTAGTACAAATACAGTATGTTAACTAGTACAAAACTGGCTTAAAAGTCATATATAATGGGAAAAAAAAGAGCTTTTACCTATTAGTCATTCAAAATTTTAATTAAAATATTTTGGATGCCTAAACTTAAATTTTATATTCAATAATTAAAAATTTTATTTTCTTTTGAAATAGGATGTCACGTACAGCCCGGTCTTACCATGTATTAAATTATTCAATTTTTTTACTAAGTGAGCTGTGCGCGTGACATATAGTGATTTTTTCAATTCTTTTACTAAGGGAGCTCAACTGTGCACGTGACATATAGTGATTGGAGTCATCATACATTTTTTCACGAGAACTCAGTATATTTTCTCAGTGTTAGTGATTGGAGTCATCATACATTTTTTCACGAGAACTCAGTATATTTTCTCAGTGTAATAAGAAAATTTTGTTTGCGTTTGACTTATTTAATGTAAAAACGCAAATCAAAATAAGAAAAATGAGGGATTTAATGGAGGAGGGAGGGTAAAACCTGGGAGTTGAGGGAATGGAATTTGAGTTCCGAGGAGAGGGCGCGGTGCTCCCAGTGGTCTCTTGATGATCGGAGCTCTTCCATGTCGGTCTTAACTTTGTCCAGCATTGCTTGCATTTCGCCGCACTGTACTGCTTCGACCATTACCTGCTCTGCGATTTTATCCACCAACTTCTTGCACTTGCAGCAGCTCCCGACGTCAATGGCCTCCGCTAGCTTTACTGGACCAGTCGATTCCTGCAATGTTTTGTTTGTGAGCCGAAGTATATTTACCAAATCGAGGTGAAGTCATTTTTTTTTTTAATGGGCCAGTCGATTCCTATGTATTTACATATCTAACACCTACATTTTATTTTTTTTGCATTTATACAATCCAAATCTTTCATATCGTCTAAAAAAATCACTATTTTAATTTTAAATATCATTATTTTAGATTTTGAAAAGGAAATACATGCTTTTGTTTATATTAATGTAAGGTGGAAAATATGTAAAAAAAATGTTTAGGTGTTAGAAATATAAATACGAAGGAATTAAGTGGTATGAATGTAAATTGACCTTTTTTTTAATGAATAGGGATGACCAATTATGAAATTAAATTAGATAGGAACATGTAAACACACTTATACCAATGAAAATTTATTTCGAACAACATATGCATATGTAAAAATGTATGACAGTGGATCCTGTTTGGAAGGTAGAGATCAGATACCGTATGCAGACGGTGTTCGTATGGAATAATTTCTCTATACTAATTCTTAAATTCTTTTTTTTTTTGGACGGGAGATCTAATGCTATAAAAATATAGAAACCGAACCATCTCTTAACAGTCTGATATAAATAAATTGTTATAATTTGGTTTAAATTTATTTTTTTATTAGAATAAATCCTAAAGTCATTCGATTTATTTTTCGATAAATGTAATATAAATTTCTATTAATATAAAAATTCTCATCAAATAACATCTTCTTTTAGATTAAAAAAAAAAAATCTTAAATTTTCTTATAAAAATAGAAATTTGTTCAATCGCGCGGCTTCTTGTATGGGGAGGAAGAGAGACATTCCTCCATCCCCTCCCAAGCAGTTAATGAGCACTGCATGTGAGTCTGCGACACTACATGATTTCTATAATATTTTAGGAAGAATTACATGTAAACAACTTACTTCCTATGTATCTACGTACGTACCTACCATCTAAACTTCACTTTGTACATGTATGCAACCTTGCCTGCGCATTATGAGGTAACAGTGATATTTTGCTATGTGGTATGCAAGATTTAAGCGATGCAAATTATATAAAAATCTAAATTTTGGCTTTAGATACGTAAATATATAAGAATTAGGTGGTCTGCATGTAAATACTCCAAAATTTTATTCATGTATTCACTGGATTACATCACTCCCGACATAAATTTGAGTCTGAAATTCAATAAAAACTTGACAAGTGACAAGTGAGTCTCATTGTAATACATTTATTATAATTGATTTTTAAAAATATGTGAGGCTCATCTACCTGGACTCCTGAAATTCAATAAAAACTTGACAAGTGACAAGTGAGCCTCACTGTAATACAATGATTATAATAAATTTTTAAAAATATGTGAGGCTCATCTACCTCGGCTCAATGCAAATTTAAAGTGCCCATACAATAATTTTTCTAGTGTCACAATGATGTTTTTCTATGTATGATGTGATGTGTAAAGGACATGCATATTGTTTAGCATTTTTTGATGATATTCACATGGTACTTCATGTGCCTCTGATGACTTTGCTGGACCATGCTCTCTTAAATTCGAGAAAATTTCTGTGGGTATTTATACTTAAAAATTTTAATATTAAATGTATATATATAGATAATTTGGGTTGATTGCAGCTGCCAGGATTTATCTGAGGTGGCTGCAATAATTTATAAAAGTATTTTAAGTTTTAAATGCTATTATTTACGCATTCTAATTCATTTAATTATGAATAATTTACTGGGAGGTTTATAAATATACTGCACAATTGCCATAGTGGGATAAAAGACTTTATTGTTGTTGTTGCTGTACATGTCAGTGCCCAAAATTTGATATTTACTTATACAATATTTTAATATCATGATCATATAAAAAAAAATGCATGCTTTTAATGATATATTTTATGTCTAATAAGAAAATTCATAGTTAAATTTTAGATATTAAAAAAGTAAATAAAAAAATATTTTTTTTGAATATTTTCTTTTATGTTTTTATCTCTAAATTTTTGCAAACTCCCTCCTTCAACTAATGAATAACTATTCGCCAGTTGAATTTATACCAAATTAGCCACTTATCAGATCTCCCCTACAGTCCTACTGTAACGACAGGACCTGCTCCACCTGCCCTTCTCCTCCGCTCGTCTCCAGTCTCCACCAATCCATGCGTATCAAAAGAAATCCTAACAAACAAAAGAGTAACCGTATTTTGAATCTTACCTGTAGAAGAGGGCGGTGGCGATCGGTTACTGCTCTAACTTCGTTGCCAAACAATCCATGGAGTTTGCTGCCACCGCGCCCCCCGCCGGCGGCAGCTGCGGCGGTGGCTGAGGTAGACCCGAAAGACGGAGGAAGCAACCCGTGCTCAGCCATCCTCTCCATCATTCCTTTCGATAACCCCTCCATCTTCATCCTCAGCTCCTCCACCTTCAAGGTTTTTGTTATAATTAGGCATGAAAATGGTAGTCGAAATGACTAAGAATGGAGCAAGATCGAAATGCAATGTTGGAATTACATATGGGAATTGACGCTTTCGATCAGACGAAAGCAGAGCCGACTTATCCTCTTTGGAAGAAAAAACAAGCTCGGCGATCGGATCACCAATTTCTGTTATCACTTTCACTCCAGTTTTCTCTTCCATCGTTTCCAGCTGCCGACGTAGCAATGAAGATTGTCGGTCTAAGCTTCCGCCGGACCGACCGATCTTCCCTTTCCTCCATTTAAATTCTCCATCGACCCTCTCCAGCTTTGCAATAATCTCCTCGATCTCCTCATCAAAACCCATCGGCGCATTCCCGTCGATCTTCTTTCTTCCCTAAATCAACCACCACAAAAATTTTCAATCAGAGAACAGAGCTCCACCAAATACCAAAACAAAAAATAATAAAAACGACAATAATTCTTACTGAGATCATCGCTTCCATTAAAGACGTCATGGCCGACTCCATCTGAACTCTGTTCTCATCCAACTTCCGGATCGCAACCTCACGCTCCATCCTCAACAAACTGCATTCAGCGCGGAGGTTCTCCGCCGAATCTCTCCCCATCTCACCTGAAGAACACGAATAGACCTCCTCCGCTTTCGATCTCCTCTCTTCTCCCCATAATCGGCGACTCTCCTGGCGCATGAGTGCCTCGAGATTCGATTTTCTCGCCGCCGGCGACTTAGCTCGAGGCTTCGCCGGTCGAGAGAGGAGGCTCCGGCGTGGAAATTGGAGTACTCTCGGAGTGACTGGAGGCGGAGGATGCCATTTGGCTGCCCTCGTCGACATGGATGCTCTGCTTCTTGTTCGCTTTAAACTTTTGGTTTCGCGATTGGGGACAAAAGAGAGGAGGCCCAGCGGCACTGAGTGGAAGGCGTGACTCGTTTTCTCAATAACAACGCAGTGGTGAGATTTGAAAGGTGGCGCGTCTTGTTATTCACAAACTTCATGCCTCATTATTATTATTATTTGAGAGGAGCTATTTATATTTTTATTATTTATATATATATATGAAGGATTTCTTAGCTAGTCATGATTGAGAAGAATATTACATGGTATTTTTGAGATTATGATTATTTTATGTATATTTGTAATTTAAATTTAATTAATCTTGCACTATTATGATAATAAATTATATAATTTTAATTTATGTTTTTTTTTTCTTAAAAAAATTTGAACTTTAACTAACAGGCATAAAACCCTCATATTTTTTCAAGTCTTATAATATAGATATATATATTTGTTTAATCTCACTTGAAGCATGAAACAAAAAGATGAAATTCATCTAATATTTTAAAGTAGTTATAAGTTTTTTATAAGAAGTCAAACATTCTTTATATATATATATATATATTTTTTGAAAGTATGCATCATATTTCTTTCATGGTACATATGAATTAAGAGGTATACATTTCAATACACTTAATTTTGCACTTAAAGTTTACATGATGCTGCTGCAACTTATTAAAAAGTAACTGTGAAGTTGCTTAAGAATAATCTGATGTTAAAAAAAACAACGGTGATTATTATAATTTTTCTTAAAAAAAAGTCAGACCATAACTAAAAATTTGTTATGATGAAAAAACACAGATTTCAATGACAACTTTTTGAGAAAACTGTCAAAATACAGTTTACCCGAATAGTAAAACTATAATGCGCTTCCGCACCGCCACCCGAAACAAAGTATTATTATTTTTTTCTCTTTTAATAACTTTTCAGCATAAATATTTTAGAATTCACTGAGAAAGTGAGAGCTAAACAGAGCCCTGATAGAAGTTCGAATTTGAAAAAAAAGGATCTGTTCAGCCCCACTTTATCTTAGTTATGGACTATCTTACCTGAAATATATTAAAATAATGCAAAAATGTTTTACATTTTTGTCATTTTATGTCCAGTCTATAGCATTTTTAGGGAACAAAATGGCATAATTTACGGCAATAAAAGCTATAGAAGTACCACTATCTTGCAGAGAATGGCGTTTTAATTGAGGTGCAGGAATCGATCATAAAACTATGATTCCTCCAATTGCACTTAGTTACATTCATACCACTTTATTCTTATATATTTGCACATGTACCATCTAAACTTTCTTAGTTACTTCTATAACCCTCAAACTGTTTCTCCCAACTATCCTTAACTATTATAAGAAATCTAAACTTTCTTAGTTACTTCTATAACCCTCAAAATGTTTCACCTAACTATTCTCAACTATTATAAGAATGAGTATTCAGCCCATGGTCCATTCGAATCATTTTTGTTGGGCAACCTTGGAGAATTTACATGCATACCACTCAATGCTTATATATTTACATATCGACACCTAAACTTTACATTTTTTATATTTTTATCATCTAAATCTTTCATGGTAGAAAAATATTATCACTGACTTAGCTTTTCAAAAGTGAAATATACATTTTTTAATGCATAAATAAGATGACATGTCTATGTAAAAAATGAAGCTTAGGCTTAAGATATGTACATACTCCAATTTTAATACATTTTTTTTAACTAATAATACAATTTGATGGGATAAATAGATTGTCACCCGTCGGCAACCATCACCGGCCAACTTCTCGCCTCCACAACCATCTTACACCATACCACCTAGTACTAGTGTTAATTGTTTGACTATTGTCAACCACTATCTCAGCATCATTATTTATCGTCTTTACTTTCAAATCTTACAAGCAAGTGCTATAATCATTGTATACGACTTTCACGATGGTCAATGTTGGCATCCATTTTTGATGAGACATATACGAGACATCCTCGCTAAGGACACGACACTATTGTTGGGTTCTACACCATCATATGCAGGCTTCAAATTGAGCATTGTCAAACCGGCATCACTTCTGGTATCCTCTGCATTGACGTTCTTTCTTGTGGCACGAGATTGTATCTGGTCAATATAGGTGCTCCCGTGACATGATGTAGCCCAGTACATGTTTATGACTTAAGCTTAAGGTATGTGCATACGGATTTCATGATTAGAACTGTCGTGCTAACCTTCTTGGACACTTTTGAGATGCATTGCTGACCCCCACGGAGGTCCAAGGATCATGACCTGCATACTCTATCCTCCGGAGGTCCCATAAAGCCTAAAACCCTCTTTGCAAACTTCTCCGAAAATGTAATTTTTATGAGGTCTGGCGTGACCACGCCTAATTTAGGTGTGACCACGCCTAGTTAATGGCTTTACCACGCCTAGTTAGTGGCTTGATCATGCCTAAACTGGGTGTGGTCACGCCGAGACCTACCAAAAGAACACAAAAGGGCTATGGTTGGCGTGACCACGCCCGAATGTGGCATGATCATGCCGGTCAAACAGAGACTGCGACATAATTACGAAGCAATATGGGTGTGACCATGCTCAAATCTCAGCAGGCACCCTAGTTCGTCGGCCAACATGACCATGTCCGCTAGTGGCGTGGCCATGCCGCCTAGACAATGCATCTGACGTACTTACGATGAGCCTCGAGTACAACCATGCTGACCCCTGATTCGCGACACTATGGACAGTGGCGTGACCATGCCCGAGCCCGGCGTGGTCATGCTGCCTGAACCCGTTCAGTGAAAATGGACCTCCAGTCCTCAGATTTCGGTCGACAAGGCGGTCGGGACAGCTGGTCCTTCCCCTGAGGCTTAGTTATTCACCTAAAAATGACTTGGAAGATATTTTGGGTCCATTTTAAATTGTGAAAGGGGCCTTGGCCCATTGGATCTTCTTCCTATGGCTAAATAAACCATGAAAAAGAGCTCATTTGAGCTAATCAACCGCCATTGAAGGGAGAGAGCCGAGCAAGAACATGAGAGCTTGGGAGGAGCTTTCAAGGGGCATTTCTTATGGGATTCTTGATCTTCTTCAAAGAGAATGTGATGAAATCTATTCTCCTTGATCCTTTTCATCTTTTCTTCTATTTATTTAGTCATCTTCTTCATCTCTGGTGATACTTCAACGAGGAGCTACTTCATAGCTTTGATGAAGACGAAATTCTGATGAACTAAAGGTCTCTCTGGCGAGGATAGCGTTATCTACGTTAGAGAAGGAGAACTCCGACAGATTTCAAAATTTCTCTGTGAGGAGAGCTTCTTCCTTCCTTCAGCAAAAGACTTGAATGGGCTTCTCTCCTATCGCTAGGAGTGTTTCATCCTACTAAAAGAAACACTTAGATCAGTTGTCACATAGGTGAAATTCCTCAAACTCTTTGCAATTTTTTAGTCAGCCCTAGGAGTAGAGTTTGCTAGGTGGTTGTGGGTTTCAGTCGCCCACACGAGGAGGATTTGATCGGCAACTCATTATTATCAAGCTCAATCAATCGCCCGTTATCGGATGGCTCGATTGGTTGAACGATATCAGTCGGCCCGACCATACACCTTTTGATTGTCCAAATTTGTAATGTTGTTGTGGGGTTCGGTCACACACGGTAGGCAAGTTGGTCGGCCTACACTAGTCGGCATGGTCATACGCCTATTAATTGGTTGTTTATTTTCTAGAGGAAGCCTCATATGACAGAGAACATTTGTGATTTCATTACGATTCCGACGAGAAAAACCAAACCTTTTCATTTCTAGCACAAAATCCCAACGTATGGAGTCATTGCAACCTCGTGTTTGCGCCAACGGTTTCATTTTTATGGAGGAGAGTGAAATCTGACAATTTGGGCGTAGAAAACAGAAAGTCTCACGACTTTTACATTCCCTACATCACAAAGACTCTCACCCCAAGGAATTTCTTCATGCTGGGCAAATAGAGGTTGTCACCTGCAGCTTTGTAGCGACGCGCACTTCGTCCCGTCAATTATCCCTAGGGTGACCCATGAGATCATTAGGACGAGCTCGCTTTGTAGCTAGGAACAATCAGATCTCATTTCTTGCATGTATTTGCATTATGTGCATGGCATAATTTCTAAATTTTGCATAAAATTGTTGATTTTTGTTTGTTATTTAGTCGAATCGCTCGATCCGCCCCACTGGTCGATCGACAATACCCAAAATACTTTGTTGACTCGTCCGATCTGCTGTATCGACCCGATCGACATGACCGACAATCTTTTGTCCACTCATTCGATCGATCACACTAAAACAATAATATCAATCGATGATTTTCGTCGGCTCGCTCCACCGGCCCCACTGACCCTATCGGCATACCCGACTATCCCTCATCGACTTGTCCAATCGGCCCAACTGGCCCGATCGAATCGATCAATATTCCTCATCAGCTTGTCCAATCGGCCCCACTAGCTTGATCGACACAACAAACTATCTTTTGTCGGCTCGTCCAATCGACCACATCGGCCTGTTCGGCTCGACCAACGATTTCTTCTGAGTGTTGCACTTCTTACATGTTTATTTTGCATGACTTGCATTAGCATATTCACCACTTGCACCATTGTTGTGTACTCGTGGGAATATGCCCTCATATGCCCACATCAAGCACTTGCGCCTCCCATGGGCATGCTCCACTACATGTTTGCTTCATGACGTCTCCGTGTCCCAGTGACCCACGACCTTAGTGCCTGCACTTGCACTAGTGTACTCTCACGTGTTTGCTTTGCATTCATCTCGCATGTTCATAGTTCTGCATGTTTGAATCTTGCTTGTGTCACTATCCTTGGACACCCAGGTGTCCAACCCAGGGGTGGCTTACATATCAAGTCTCCTCAGCGTGTAATTATCTCCAACGAGAATGAGCTCACTTCTTTTCTGCAGCACCACAACAACTTGCCATAGGACATCCTTCGGGTCACTGCCTCCACGACACAGGTTTACTTTCTAAGACATTTGCTCCATATATAAAAAAAAAAAAAGAGCGGTCGTTTCATAAATTTATTATTTATATTGGGATATTTACTTGGATACCACCCCATTCCTACATATTTACATATCTAACTCCAAAACTTTACTTAAATTTATAGCACTCAAATCAATCATAT